TTTTTATGTCATTATTATAGGTCATGTAGGATCTATTTTAGTATTTATTGGAGAAATCCTTTACAACAGGAGTATGTAATTAAGTTTCATGTACTGAATACTGCATAATATCACAAAAACAATAAACATTTATTGGAAAAATTAACGTTTTTTATTGTTTGTTTCGAGCAAAATTAAACTGACGGTACCAAAAGTGTCACAAGGAAAAGTCCTGAGAATATGTTTAAAAAATGACGATACTTTTTGGATCGTTTACTAAACACATTTTCTTTTGATTCATGATTTGATATTGAATATCTTGGAAATGGAGAGGATTACAAATTTGAGTTGGAACACTACAGAAAATCTCCTCAAGAACAAACAGATGCAGCTATTTTCGCTATTTCTTTTCAATTAAGATAAAAAAAGTGTTTTTCGTGTACTTAAAAGAAATTGATAATGATAACATTGTTTAACCCAAAATAATTAAGAATCAAATTAAATCAATCTTCTTTATTATGTCATTTTAATTCAAAGTAGATTTTAAAATCAATTATCGTTTATTATTTATGTAATATTTTCTAATACCCGTTAATTTCTTCTATAAACAATACCTAACAATGGCCTAATAGTAAATAGAATTAAGACTGATTTAAATAGAACAAGTCATTAATTAAATAGTCAATAACAAGGCGGAAATAAATTTGACACGTGTCCACTCCAGTTGTGATAAAATATTCAAAGTTAAAACAAATAATGATTTGTGGGGCTTCCTATTAGTTACACTATGCCACTACACGTATTTACTTTGATTGTTGTTTTAACTTTAATCCAAGTTATAATTTGTTTACTTGAAGTGCCTTACAATAACGACAAAGAGAAGCTCTTAAACGTCTATCAAAAGCATTTTATTTTGGTTCGTTATTTGACTTTTACTTTTTTGTTTGATGGCATTCACCAAATCGATTTAGACGAAATTGTTGTGGAATTAATGAAAAGTTTAAACTTTTCGATTGCAATAAAAGAGAAAAGTTTAGACAAAAATAGTACCTTGTTTTTAGACGAAAGTATTGATAATATGGATGAGTATGTAGTAACGAGTGAGTTGTTAAAAATTAAACCACTTTTGTCAGACTCGTACGAGGGTCATGTTATAATTGTGTGGGATGTCAGAGTTTTATTAGCATTTCTGGAAGAAGATACCGAAATAGTATCCCAAGCAAGAGCAACTTTTGCAATTCTGTTTGCATCCTCCGACTGCAAAACCTTCAAAAAAGAAATCAATCACGTCCTTAAATTACTCTGGACCAATCATGGAATGGCAAATCTGATTGCGCAAGCTTGCTTTTGTGACAGTTTATTTGTTTACCATCCCTTCATAAAGAATGGCAATACATGGGGGGTGACTCAGAATTATTCCCTAGATAATTTTATGTTAGTGTCAAATTCGCTTCAAAATTTCCAAGGATATCCTTTTAAAGTCTCCTTGTTTGATGGACCACCCACTGCTCTCAAACAAATTCCAACCTATATCTTACACAATCCTATTTATAGCGACTTAAAAACCGGTGATTTCGCAGGAATGGACGGTTGTCTTTTGAAATGTCTCTCCAACTACCTAAACTTTTCATTTTTAATCGACGAGAGTCACCCGACTCATGGTCGAGTATTGAAAAATGGTACCATCACTGGTAGTCTAAGTGACGTGGTTTTCCGCAAAGTGGATTTTAGTGCCAACGATTGGTTCCTGATAGACTACCAAACGCGCGAAATTGAAGTGACAGTACCATTCAGTTACGATCAAGTTTGTCCGGTGGTTCCAAAAGCGTTAAAAGTGCCACAATGGAAGGCCTTTTTCTTCATTTTTGATGTAACTTCCTGGGTTCTATTTTTCTTTATGTGGATTTGTTGCATTTTTGTTTGGGTTGTTCTTAACTCATCTCGCGATTTGGCCACAGTTACATGGGAGATGTGTGCGGTTTTATTTGGGAACCCTGTCAATGTGGTACCACTGCCTCACCAATATATGTTTTTGGGTTCTTGCATGGTTCTGAATATTATCATAATGGGGATCATTCAAGGATCTGTTTTTACCGATTTTACCACAACGACCTTTCACAAGGACATTAATACGTTGCTAGAACTGGATCAAGCTGGACTACAAATCGCCTCTTCGGCTTGGTATTTAGATTTTGATACAACAGATTTGATTAAAAGTTTGAAAACAAAGCAGATAAGAAACTACAAGGGTTCGTATAAAGACGCAGCTTATACGCGAAAATTGGCGGTTTTGGGAAGAAAACAAGATGTGGAACATATCGTTAAAGTCGAATTTGTGGCAGAAGACGGATCACCACTTCTACATGTTACAAATGAATGTTTACAGACTTTTCTACTGGTCAGTGTTTTTCCAAAAGGTTCCCCGTTTTTAACTACTTTCAATCACGCAATTACGAAACTGTTTGAAGCTGGGCTAACTGTAAAATGGTACCAAGACGTTATGTCTACTGGTACCATGATTCAACAAATGAAAAAATTTGCAAACAGAATTCCAGATGATTTATTTTCGCTACGTGATGCTCAATTAGCGTTTTATGCACTTTTTGTAGGATATACACTAGCGTTACTTGTATTTCTAACTGAAATTGTAAGAGGAAGCAAATAAAATTACGTTAATAATTTTTTATTTATTTGTTACAACCTCGCAAACGAATATCAAAATTGAGCAAAAGTGTCCTATCGTAAGTATATAAAAAACAGCTTGTAAATCGTTGATGTTCAAAGAATTAAAACTACCATTTTCGTCCAATTTTGGTCTTTCTTCGTCTATAATACCGTCTAAAACATCACGGTACCACTTTGAAGTGAGTCCGCCTTCAAATAACCTTACTATTATTTGGTTGAAAGGTGCTAGTAAATGTGACCCTTTTGGTACAATCTCGCAAAGTAAGAGCGACGTATAACATTCTCCAACTATGTGTACCAAAGGAGTACCATCCCTGGATGTGTATTTTGTCCTAATTAACAAATCTAATTCACTTTTCCGTCCTAGAGTGGAAACATTTTGCTGGTACGCAACTTTTTTTATGTCACCTTTGTCTTCAATCAGATGTGTCTTGAGTTTTATCATTAAATCAGAACTGTCACCTTCTATAAGAAACCAATATTTGGTGGCTATTGGCAGGTTTGACGTGTACAAATCCTCAAGAGTGTCAATATCTGGATAAAAACTTACCGTGGAAAATTCAGTAAATAATGATCCTTGAATAATCCCGAAAATAGTCACATTGAAGAAAAAACAAAACAATAGAAATACAAATTGACTAATCGATGGAACAATCTTTTGGGGAATCCCTACGATGAAACCAAAAATCTGCCAAATAAATTTCCGATGGTTTCTAGATGGTCCGATAAAATACCAAGCGAGGGTACTTGAAACACATGATAGGAAAATCCAGAGCCAGGAAAATGTGTTGAAGCATTTAAGTGTTTTCCAAGTTGGTACTTTATGGGCCTTGGGTACCACCATGCAGAGTTCGTCAGAAACGTAGGGAAACGAATATTCAATTTGTTTGGTTCCATACTCCATCAAGAATCGACTGTTAATACTTAAGTGCACTCTGCGATTGACAACATCGCCCAAGGAACCAACCGCGGTACCATTTGTTAGTACTCTTCCGTACAAATCCAAATTTTCCACAATTACTGGATCAAAATTAAAATAATCGACTAATTCTCTTAGAAGAAAACCGTCCAAACCTGCGTAGCCTTTAGACAAACTTAAATTACTGTATCTTGGATTTGTCTTGAGCGATTTTGGTAAATAGTCAATTAAAGTTGGTTTAAACAAAAAAACGGAAATTTTTAACGGGAATTGATTCAAATTTCTTAACTTATTAGACTTCGTTGCATCGACCAAGTTGCAACTTTTACAACTTCCCCAGGAGTTACCACTGTATTCAAAGGGCCAAAACTGGTAAAGTGTGTCACCTGGACACGGGTTTTGCATGACTACATTTAAAACGTTATATTCACACCAAAACTTTTTCAAAATTTCACCAAAGTTATTATGCACAGTGCTACAATCTTCTTGAAGAATGAATATATAGTAAGTACCTTTTTCCTCCGGTACCACCGTCAAATTATCAAGAAATTGCTTAAGTATTTCGAGGCTCCAGACGATAATTATGTAATTTAGAGTTACATCACTTTGGTTTTTGCTCAAGTACTTTTCTTGTATCACAACAGGTGTGTCAATTTTACGCAAGATTTCTTCTGCTAAATCTCTTATTTTGCGTCGTTGATTATTACTCTGTAGCATCGATATTGTCACAGAATTGGCAGATTTGAAGTATTTTTTTAAATACTGGAAATGAGCTTCACTGAGGTGAATATTATCTGGGTTAGTTTCGTTGAAAAAAAGAACCGATAAAACTAGCCAAAAAATAAATCGAGTCATTTTCATTGTTCATGATATTCTGTATTTTTTTTTTATAAAATATCAGTTTGTGACACAAACTGTCAGTGTGGCAACGAAAGGAAATTATATAGAATTAGCAACTTAATTATTTACTAGTCATAATACAAAATTAGTGTTTTGACGTGGTGTTTTTACTATTGTGCCAACAATAAAAAATCGAACTGAACAAATAATTTTATTTACTGTGTCTCTGTTGATGCATTAAACCGACATGAACTGCACTCATCACCAGAATAATTCGTTTCAAACTGAATTATCACTATCAAAAAAGTGATGATAGCATTAAACATCTTAAAGATCGTTTTCCTATTTATCTCAAAAAATCTAGCCGCGACGAAAACAGGAAAATTATCTTTAATTGCAACCACAAATTCATTGAGATTTTCCATTTCCTGTGTGTGTTTCATTTCAAAATGTCTCTCCAAATCTAGACTATAAACCAGATTCGGTAACTCCCCGGCTGTGTGGATCACAGAATCACATAATACAATATTACAAAAAGTGCACATCTATAACAAATCTTGTCAAGTGGTTAAATATCATGAAATTTCTCACCGATTGCCACGAAATTACATTAACATTAGAAATGATTGTCGCGAGTGATTTTCTTGATCCCACGAAAATTCCTTGGAGGTAGATCATTATTTGAAAACTTGTAAACATGATAAGTAACAGAAACGGCCAACCAAAAATGTCATTAAAGGCGTCAATTGATTCCCTCAAGCTGAAAATGTGACTTTTGATTACTTGCAAAGGCATCAAAGGGCGTCTCTCTTCGGATAAAGTTGTTTTCAGCTGTGTATATTTCACCACCAAAATTTTTAAAATCGTGTATAAAAGAAAGTAGAACAGGAATTGTGAATATAATTGAAGATATTCAAAACCGTACTGTATAATATAATTCACACCCAAAAAAAGCGTGAAAACAACAGTGGAATAAACGTGGATTAAGTGGAATAAAATATTTGCAATAATAAAATGTGATTTTTTTTCTTGGTCAACTTTTAGATTCACTAGCAATTTACTCCACTGATATCTTTTTGTGACAGTTGTCAAGACTGTGTATACATTAAGAATTATTAAAATTCCATCTAGGATAATTTGGACTAACAAGTTTATCGGTCTTAACGTTGAATAGTAAGATATTCTATAAAAAATTGAAACACTGAAAAACACCACATAAACACCGATCATGATGTATGCATGTGCACGATGAGGAAAAAAATTTCCTTCAGTGGGAGTCATTGCTAGAAAATTCCCGATTTTGAGAACCCACTTCAACATTTTTCTAGTTTGTAGTTAAATAACTAAGGGTTTTATCGAAAAATCATTATGTTTAGACAAATTGGTGTAAGGAAACTAGTCAAATACAAGTTTGTTTGTTTAGCTTCATTTATTAGTGTTTTTACGTTACAAATTGATGTTTGTAGAATTGCGTGTCATTTCAAACTGAATCATGACGATTAGGAAGGTCACAATGGCGTCAAGAATGCCCAAAATCGTTCCTCGGCTTATAACAAAAAATCTAGCGGCGTAAAATCGCGGAAAATTATCTTTTATCGTCGATGTCAACTCCTGGATTTGCGCCACGTTTTTGCAACTCCTATTCAAAAAATATTTCTCCAGACTGTAGCTCATGCCCAAAATCGTTCGTCCCTCGTTGCAAATCTCATCGCAGAGAAAGACATTGGTCGAGGCGTTGACCTAACATTTCAATAAAATTTGAAAAGCAAAAAGGAAAACTTACAGTGTGCCAAAAAATCACTACAACGATGTAGATAATCATGTAGATGTCTTTAAATCCCAGCATTACTATCAGGTGGAGATAGACCAAAATTTGTAGCGTGGCATAAGTGATGAGGAATAAAATTTGCCATCCAAAAATATTATTTGCCAGATCCACCGCTTCTTTCAACAAGCAAAAATCGTACTGGATTTTGTCCAAATGGGCGAGGCTGTATCCCACTCTTCGATTTTCAGGTTTTTCCAAAAAATGTAAGTTCAGTCGGAGATGTCGCGAGAGAGCTTGATACCTCACCAGTAGCATTTTCACGACAACAAAAAACGAAAAATTTACGAAAAAAAGCACATACATTTGGAAATACTCAATAGCAAACTGTTTGAAAAACTCATCGCCTTGTAAACTCGCAAAAATGTAGCTCATGTAGCTTTGGTAGATCCAAAAGAAACAGTTTGAGGCCACAAAAAGGCAATATTGCGGTTTTTCTTCAATATTATTGTGGTTTTGCACGATTTTCAGCTTCTTTAATAACAACCACCACAGCGATTTTTTTTTCAGAGCTGTTAGAACCGTGTATATGTTTTGCACAAATAGTGTGAAATCAAGTGTGATTTGAACTACTGCTTTTATGTGAATAAATTTTGCATAATCTTTTGCTCTATAAAACATCGATATTGCCACTCCAAGAGTGAGAAATGCGACCACACAATACGCGTAAATTTTTTCGGGACAAGTCGGGATTCGACTTTTTTTAAAACTGGGGGTTATGGCGAAAAAATGCCCCACTTTCAACACCAATTTCAGGAGGCGGAAACTCATTTTATTGCGTCAAATGGAGTGAAGTATCAAGAATACACACTTGTTATATTTAATTTTGAGTAAATAAACATAAATATTTAGTCGATGCATTTTAAATGATGGCATAATCAGTGGCGCAGCGAGAGGAGGGTTTTGGGGATTACTATTTAACCTAGAACAATTATGTTTTTTTTTATATGATAAAAAAAATAATTTGCTTTACTATGGTACCAAACAAAAAGGGCTAGCGTCAATAATTCCGAAGTTATTAAGCAATAAACCGCTCAAATCAAAAAAAATGAAAACTTCATTTGCACTCTTAAGGGGTTCAAGAGACTTGGAACCGTACGAAAACGTAAAAATGCAAGAAATATTTTTTTTTAATTTTGTGTAGTCACTTTGAATACGTTGAATTAAAACATTGAGACTGTTGGTGGCGTGGTGGTGTAGCTCAAATCAGCAATTTTTTACTAATTTAAATTCAAATACTAATTCAAATTAGCAATAAGTGATGGCGAGCGCTTTTTTTTAACCATGTGCACATATTCTCATAAGTATAATAAAAGAGAGAGAGAGAGAGAGAGAGAGCATGCTTTTAACGCAAAGTACCTATAACAAGAAAGAGAAAGAGCATAAGAACAAATAAGTGAACAAAGCATAAGTAAGGGCTAACGACACAATTTTATTTTTCCATGGCAGCCTTTGTTACAAATAAAATTCTTTAATTTGGAATACACATAAACACAAAAGAAAATGTGAGAGATCAAAGTCGGCCAAGGTTTCTGAAATTATACGGATCTAAGATTTTGACTTCAATCAATTGGCCGATGGCTTTGAAATTTGGTGTAAGGGCCCAGATGTGGATTTTAAATAAAATTTTTGTTGTATTGGCAACATAATAGGTACCTACTTTACGAAAAAAGAAAGCTCATTTATTTTTGGCCATGTTTTCTTCTATCAACAAGTTAAAGTTAACTTAATGAACAAAAGTTCATTTGAACACATAATTACATCAGAGATAATTAGAAAGTGAAGTTATTATCTGAAATGACGTTTAAATGAGTGCCCAAACTTTTTTACATAGATAAGCCCTCCCCTCCCTTCCTCCTAAACTCTATCTCTGGCTACGCCACTGCTTTATGATATAATAAAATTTAACTCGATAACGAGGGACAATCGGAAAATTTTCTACTCTTATTGTTCGATTTGTCTTGGCTTCCTGAATCAAACCCCAAAAGTAAGGGTGTCAATTTTGAGACATCACGTTTACTTTGGAAAAACACAAATTTATTGAGTGCTTGAATCAAGTTTACAATCCATATACCTAAATATTGTACTTATCTACTTTAAGAAAAGCTTGAGTTTTCAAGTTGAATCGTAACAATTAAAAACGTAATGAGAGCATTAACTATACCAAGAATCGTTTTTCGATTTAAATCGAAAAATCTAGCGGCTGAAAAGTGAGGAAAAGTGTTGTCTATGACATCTACAAGAATTTTTATTTCTTCATATTCTTTTTCTTCTACACAATTTGCTGCAATTTGGTGCGCTACTATTTGCATGTTTTTAACTCTTTGTTCTACCAGATCACACAAAAAAACACTAATAAATGTCCCCACCTAAAATTGAAAAAATGTTTATTCAAAAAAAAAAAAACAACTCTGACTAACCATGTGCCAGGTAATGTACAGTATTTTGAATATGACAACTGAGACGGTGTTTTCTGTCATAACAGAATGAGTTAAAGTCAATAAAAATGTCAATTGTTGGAGAAAACAAAACTGTATCAACAATAATATTAACAAACCAAAAATATTGTTAAAAATATCTACACATTTTACCAATGCACAAAATTCCCTTCTTATACTCTTCAAAGTAAAACTATTTACTCGATTAGATTGCACCTTCAAAAGTTTAATATTTTTGGATAGATTCTCAACTCCGTTCAGTATCAGTTTCAAAAATACATAAATCAAATAGTAAACAATAAATTGGGCATAAAATTGAAAATACTCCACTGCGTACATTTTGTAATATAGAACACCCAGTACTGGACTCCAAACATAAGTTTCGTAAATTTTGCTTAAAACGTATATAATGCTTGTTAATAAGAAAGATAAAAACCAAAATATCTTTTCGTTTTCTTTGTTAATTTGAAGAGTTTGCAAAATCTTTATGAATTTTTGCCATTGACGCTTCTTCGTTGCTGTTATTGTAATAATGGAAATATTTAGAATATACAAAACAATATCCATAGCTACTTGAAGGATAAGTTCTACCAAAGTCATTTCTTTGTAAAAAGGTTTTCTATATATGCAGGAAATGGACACTCCTGCAGTGAATAATATTATCCAGAGTAGTGCATATATTTTTGATGGAAACCCAAGCCCATTTTTTTCTATCTTGGCAGGTGTAAGTGCTAGTAAACTTCCAAATTTGAAAACAAGTTTTACTAATTTTAATGACATGTTTTAAAAGAAAACGATATGAAGTAATAAATATTATTATCACCTTCATAAGCAAATTATTGCAAAACCATAACCAATTATTTTTGAATCAGAGCACATCTCTGTACTCTGCTAAATTCAAGAATCCTATAAACAATAAAGTCAGTCCACTCTTGGTATTGTATATGATTTCGAAATTTTTTTATTCCTAAAAGAGGTTTGGTTAATGATATACATATTTCGTTGAGTTACTGATTGTAATTTTTTTTTTTAAACAATTATCTGTTTATCTTCATTGATAAAAATAATTCCACTTATTTTTTTATTTTTTTATGGATTTTTTAAACAAAAGCTTATTGTTCAACCAGGTAATATGCAGTATTTTGAATATGAGACGATGTTTTCTGTCATAACAGTGACCGTCAAACTGAGTAAATGTGCCAGCTGTTGGAGAAAACAATTATATTAATCAACCAAAAATATTGTTACATTTTTTATGTTAGTTTGCGTGCAAAAGTCGCACTAATCGTATGGATTTTACTCCAATTATTTGATGAAATAACAACATGACCTCAGTTCAATAATGAAATTATATGCCATGTGAAATATATTTAAAAAAACTTGTTATGGTGTTTAAATATTGATTGCCCTAATTCTTTACCAAAACCTCTACTAGACTGGCAACATGACAATAAAATTATTAAATCTGAGTTTTAAATTTGGAGGTTTGATGGCCTTAACGCCTATTTGTGTCAACGAAAATGTTTTGTTTCCGTCAAAGGCGTATTCACTACTTTGGATTATCCTGTTTACTACAGGAGTGGCAATTTCGGGGATGTACAGAAAAGAGTCTTACCAAAATCTAAGCCCGATGCGACTTGTTCTTCAAACATCTTTGGACTTACTTTTGTTATCTCTTAACATTTGCACAATAATCACAACAGCAAAGAAGAGGCAACAATGGATGCAACTTATCAATAATTTAAAGACGGTAGAAAGCAGTAATAACAAGGATTCATTTTGGTTTTTGCCTTTTGTTATGGCAAATGTCGTTTTTCTGGTATTTCACAGTTACGAAACTTTCATATGGACACGGATAATGGGAGTGGCATTTTACAAACTGTATGCAGTTGAATGGTTCCAGTTTTATGCCCAATTTATTGTATACTTTTTTATTTACGTGATTTTAAACATGTTCCTTAAGAAATACCAAAGCGTTTCAAAAATTGTTTCCAAGCAAAATTTCGCTTTGTTGAGAAACATTCAAAATGATATTTGCATCCTGGCGGACTGTGTTGATGTTTTCAACAATCTTTTTGGGTTTTTGATTTTACTACTGGTCGCATTTACGACCCTTCAGATTTTAATTTATGTCCAAGGTATAGTCATAGGAGCAAAAAACACTATTGAAACGGTGGCATACAGCGTAATGTTTATTTTATGGCACATAGTTAGTCACTTTTTTGTGTTTTTGCCATATTTAAAAGACTCTTTTTAGGTTTGGACGTTTTCTGGAATTCTCACTTGTGATTCAATAATGCGTGAATTTGGAAATATGCAAATGATGGTGTACAAAATTGAAACCAGTTGTATCAAAGGAAAAGAAAATGAATTGGGAGAAATAAAAAAAATTCTAAATGTTATCAATGCTGATTCTCCTAATTTTACAGCTGCTAGGTTTTTTGGGCTTAATCGAAGGACAATTCTCGGAGTTTCGAATACTGTTGTTACTTTTCTGATTATTATGGTTCAGTTTGAAAACATCACGATTTTGGATCCAAATTACAGTGTTTACAACCACACAAATTGAAATTTCTTCGAAATTTGGTTAAATTTTCCGGGTTTTTGGGAGTAAAAGAAAATAGTTTAACCGTTCAAAGTCGATCAAACATTTTTTTATTTATTAGGGATTTACACCTTCGAAAATATAATATAAAAAAGTTTTGAGAATCACTGTTATAAAACTTTTTGAAATTTATAGATTTATAGTATGTACATTACATAAGTCTATCTACATTAAACATTTTATCTCAAAACGACATTTATTAATTACTATAATGAACTATTATATGAACTATTATATTGATTTACTATATTAAAGATATATGACAATTGTTGTAATTATGTAATTGAAAGTATTTTTCCCATAATAAAAAACGTGTTGGAATCTAATTGCACCTTTTTTGTCAATGTCAACATTACATGCATTTGTGCATGCTACTTTTTAAATATATAATTTGAGGAAAAATTTTGATTTTTTCAAACGTAATTTAATTATTGAAAATGGATTTTATTGTCTATACTATTCTAGGTTTTAGTAGGTTAAACAAGTTGTTTTTTTTTGTCAGTAGGAGATGTCAATAAGGCTAGTAAATCTCGTTTTTAAAATGGGAAGCCTAGTAGCACTTACACCTGCCAAGATAGAAAAAAATGGGCTTGTGTTTCCATCAAAAACATATGCACTACTTTGGATAATACTATTCTCTGCAGGAGTGTCAGTTTCAGCTTTTTACAGAAAAGCTTCGTATGAAAAGTTGACTCCTGTGATACTCACTATTCAAGTAGCTACGGATACAGTTTTGTTTGTTCTTAATATTTCTACAATTATAATAACAGCCACGAAGAGACATCAGTGGAACAGATTTATCAATATTTTGAAATTTCTTAAAAACAGAAATGAGAAAGGAGATTTATTTTGGTTTTTACCTTTTCTTTTAACAAATGTTGTTTTCGTAGTAATCTTTACGTACTACACTTATATCTGGACTCCAATAATGGGTGTTGATTTCTTCAAATTGTATGCAGTGGAATATTTTCAATTCTATGCTCAGTTTATTGTTTACTATTTGATTTTTGAATTTTTGAATTTGATTCTGAATGGATTCAATGACTTATCCAAAACTATGTGCAAACTTTTGAAAATGCAGTCTAACCGATTAAACAAATTGTCTTTCAAAAGACTGAAGAGCGATTTTTGTGCATTAGCAGAATGTATAGACATTTTCAATAACACTCTTGGCTGGCTTTTCTTACTCTCGATGGGATTCACTGGTCTTCAACTATTGGCATATATGCAATATATAATCTCCGGAAAGCGAAATTCATTTCTGATAATTTTATACCGAATAATGTTTATTACATGGCATTTGGTTGGTTTTCAAATATTTTCAAATACTCATTCTTATATCTAATTACATTTTAAGGTCGGGACATTTAATGGTGTTTTCATCTGTGATTTAACAGAGCAAAGAGTTAAAACCATGCGAATGGTAGCGTATCAAACTGCAGCAAATTTTGATGGAGAAAGAGAAGTTGAAGAAATAAAAAAGCTGATAAATGTAATAAACGACAATTTTCCTCACTTCACAGCTGCTAGATATTTTGACCTAAATCGAAAAACGATTCTTGGTGTTCTTAATGCTTTCTTTACATTTTTAATTGTTGTGATTCAATTTGATAACGTGTACAATTAATAAGCACGTTTGTAACGTTTGTAATTTAATAATTTGAATTTGTAGGATATTATTAAAAGGGATGTCACAAATGTAGAAATCAATGTTACATACCATGAAATTTTTATTGAATAAAAATTGTATAATAAAGTGTTTTTTTTTAAATAAGCTTTTATAAAAAAAATACTAAAAAGTAAAAAAAAATGTCATAGAAGAACATTTTTGCTTACTACTTAACTTTTCAAAATTTATAAAAGCTTTGGGAGCAGTCATAACGCTATACGAGTATTGCACAGTTATTTTGCTTTGTTGACCACCCCAAAAATTTATAAATTTTAAAAATTTGAAAATCTTAAGCAGTAGACAATGATAAAAAAATTATATATTTTAATTTTTTTTTCAATAAAAGCTTTTTTTCATTTTTAGTCCTTTAAAATTTCAAACACAAAGTTATGTGACCCACAAAACATATCACCCTACATACCAATTGATTACATCCATTTGTCATTTTATGCATGCAACTTTATCATATATTTAATTTGAAGATGAGATTGATATTTTCGAACGTAATTGATTGTATTGTTATTATTGATGTTGGACTATTGTTTGTACTATTCTTGAATTTACTAGGTTACAGATATGTGCTCCGATTCAAAAATAATTCGTCGTATTTTTGCAACAGTTTGTGTAAAAACGTGATAATAACATTTATTACCTTGTTTTCTTTCAATAGGAATTTTAAAAACATGTCATTAAAATTAGTAAATCTAGTTTTCAAATTTGGAAGTTTACTAGCACTTACACCTGCCAAGATAGAAAAAAATGGGATTGTGTTTCCATCAAAAACATATGCACTACTCTGGATAATACTATTCTCTGCAGGAGTGCCAATTTCAGCTTATGGCAGAAAATCTTCGTATGAAAAGTTGACTCCTGTGATACTCATTATTAAAGTAGCTACAGAAACAATTTTGTTTGTTCTTAATATTTCTACAATTATAATAACAGCCACGAAGAGACATCATTGGAACAGGTTTATCAATATTTTAAAATTTCTTAAAAATAGCAATGAGAAGGGAGATTTATTCTGGTTTTTACCTTTTCTTTTAACAAATGTTGTTTTCGTAGTAATCTTTACGTACTACACTACTATTTATGTTCAAAAAATGGGTGTCGATTTCTTCTTTAAATATTATGCAGTGGAATATTTTCAATTTTATGCTCAGTTTATTGTTTACTATTTGATTTATGAATTTTTAAATCTGATTTTGAATGGATTCACTGACTTATCCCAAACTATGTGCAAGCTTTTGAAGATGCAATCTAACCGATTAAACAAACTGTCTTTCAAAAAACTGAAGAGCGATTTCTGTGCATTAGCAGAATGTGTAGAAATTTTTAACAACACTTTTGGCTGGCTTCTCTTACTCTCGATGGGATACACTGTTATTCGACAATTACAATATATGCAGTATTTAATCTCCGGAAAGCGAAGTTCACTTCTACTAATTATAATGGTTATTACATGGCATTGGGTTGGCTTTGAAATATTTTTAAATACTCATTCTTTTATTTATTGAAATTTTAAGGTCGGGACATTTAATGGTGTTTTCATCTGTGATTTAACAGAGCAAAGAGTTAAAGCCATGCAAGTGGTCGCGTATCAAACTGCAGCAAATTTTGATGGAGAAGAAGAAGTTGAAGAAATAAAAAAGTTGATAAATGTAATAAATGACAATTTTCCTCACTTTACAGCTGCTAGATTTTTCGACCTAAATCGAAAAACGATTCTTGGCGTTCTTAATGCTTTCTTTACGTTTTTAATTGTTGTGATTCAATTTGAAAACTTGTACAATTAATTAGCACGAAAAAAACCTTTGTAATTTAATAATTTGAATTTGTAGGATATTAATGAAAGGGACACCCCAAATGTGGAACTCAATATTACTTACTATGAAATTTTTGTTGAATAAAAAGTGTATAAAAAATGTTTTTTGAAAAAAGCGTTTATTAGAAAAAAATACTAAAAAGCAAAAAAAAGAACTTTTTTGCTTACTGCTTAAGTTTCCAAGATTTACAAAAGCTTTAAGAGCGGTCATTACACAGTTATTTTGCTTTGCTGACCACCCCCAAAGCTTTTAGAATTTTAAAAACTTAAAAAACTTAAGTAATAAGCAAAAATGTTCTTCTTTGATAGAAAAAAAAAATTTGTTTTGTGAAATATGTACTTTAAATTTTAAACAAAAACAAAAATTATTTATTTTTCTCAAATAGTGCATGATGTTGAAATTTTCACCCACCCTTAGTATCTTTGTTCCTGTGGAAAATAGGGGTTGTGACTATAGTTTTGTTTCAAAAAAATTTGAAATTTAATCAGTGGCCTAACACAAAAAATTCGAGTTTCCAGAAAATTTTGTGACCCCCAAAACATGTCACCCGACATACCCATTGTAATTATTCCTGAATTTCCATTTGTCATTTTCTGCATGCAACTTCATTATATTTAATTTATTAATTATTATATTTAATTTGAAGATGAGATCGACATTTTTGGACGTAATTTAAAAATCTATCATTATTATTGTCATTGGACTTTATTGCTTATACCATTCCTGCTACAGATATGTGCTCCCATTCAAAAATAATAATTGGTCATATTTTTAACATAAAGAATTTTTATTTAAAATATTGATATTGATTGGGATTTGTGAAAAGTTTTCATTGTTGACAACTGTAAGTAAGTATTACATATTTAAAACAATATATTCGCAATACGTAATGAATGTTTTTAAAAGTACAAGAAATTAAATTTTAGTTGAAAAAGTTGCAAGTAGGTGTCGCATTATTTTTATCAATGAAGATAAGACGGACATTTTTTTTAAAAGTATAATTTAATAACTCAACAAAATATATCATTAACAAAACCTCTTTTAGGAATCTAAAAATTTCGAAATTATATATATTACATGCATTTGTCATTTTGTGCGTGCAACTTTAAACATATAATTTGAGGATGATATTGATATTTTCAAAACCTGTCATTATTAACAGTGGATTTTATTGTTTATAGCATTCTGAATTTAGCAGGTTACAGAGATGGGCTCTGATTCAAAAATAATTGGTTATGGTTTTGCAACAATTTGCTTATTAAAGTGATATTAATATTTATTACCTCATCGTTTTCTTTCAATAGGAATTTACAACATGTCATTAAAATTAGTAAAACTTGGTTTCAAATTTGGAAATTTATTAGCACTTACACCTGCCAAGATAGAACAAAATGGGCTTGCGTTTCCATCAAAAATATATGCACTGCTCTGGATAATACTATTCTCTGCAGGAGTGTCAATTTCTGCTTTTTTCAGAAAAGCTATCTATGAAAAATTAACTCCTGTGATACTCACCCTTCGAGTAGCTATAGACACACTTTTGTTTGTTCTTAATATTTCTACAATTATAATAACAGCCACGAAGAGACATCAATGGAACAGATTTATCAATATTTTAAAATTTCTTAAAAATAGCAATGAGAAGGGAGATTTATTTTGGTTTTTACCTTTTCTTTTAACAAATGTTGTTTTCGTAGTAATCTTTACGTACTACACTACTATTTTTGCTCAAAGAATGGGTGTCGATTTCTTTAAATATTATGCAGTGGAATATTTTCAATTTTATGCTCAGTTTATTGTTTACTATTTGATTTATGTATTATGTATGATACTGGACAGAGTCCAAAATCTATCAAAAAATATCAAGCTTTTGAAGATTCAACCTAATCGACTAAATAATTTTGCTTTGAAGAGAATAAAAATTATTTTTTTTGAATTGGAGGAATGTATAGATATTTTCAACAATATCTTTGGCTGGTTAATCTTATTATTGATTGGATTTTGTTTTCTCCAACAACTATCATATCTGCACAATTTTATCGTCGGGCTACAAAACCCATTACCAATTCTTATATTTCGAATAATGTATATTACCTGGCATATGGTTTGTTGGAGGTTTCTGTTTTTGTTTTTAATAAAGATTTCTTCAATTTAAGGTCGGGACATTTATTAGTGTATTCTTGTGTGATTTAATACAACAAAGAGTTAAAAATATGCAAATGGAAGCGCAACAAATTGCAGCAAATTGTGCAGAAGGAAAAGAATATGAAGATATAAAAATTCTTGAAGATCCCATTAATCACAGTTTTCCTAACTTTACAGCAGCCAGATTTTTTGATCTAAATAGAAAAACGATTCTTGGTGTAATTAATGCTCTGCTTACGTTTTTGATTGTTGCGATCCAATTTGAAAACATTCAAATTTGAAATGTAATTTAAGGATTTCTACAAATTTTATGCTTAATTTATTGTTTAAGGCATTATCCTTTCAATCAGCTCTTAGCTGACTGTTTTTTCTTAGTCTTGTGTTTGTGCTTTAGTGTCCAACATGTAAATAGTATAATGTCTGCATGCTTCAATAATCCTTTTTCGAATTCAAGACAACATATACAGGGTGTTCGGTCAAAGTCGCCCCGACCGATAACACCTAAACTTAATTGTTTTTTTCAAAAACTAAATTTTCAAATAATACTATTCATTCCTCGTTTTTTTGGTAAATGCATCAAATTCTTTTCGCACATCCGGTGTAGCCGGAAATGCTACCAAATTTAGTTTTTCAAATGGAACACCTATGTTTTTTTTTCCTCGAAACAAAAATATTGACATGAAAGATACGGTAAACCACTATTTATTACATTTTACTTTACATAATGCACTCAGAAAACAATTTAAATTTTTGAATTTTATTGCAAATTTTGCAACGTAGGCGGATTTTACTTGTCAAGGCAGGGCCGTAACCAGGATTTTATTTTGGGGGGGGGGGGGTTTCTTGTTGGCCCATGAAAATGAAATGAAAGAAGGCGGACTAAAAATCAAAAATCTCTAAGTACACGTTTTTATTTTAAATTAAAATAAGAGATCCTAATTAAACATAAAAAAATCAAATTAACTCACAAAAGTAACAAAAAATAAAATAAATTTTTAATACTTTTTATTGTTACAAATTTAAACAGGAGATGAATATTCATTTTTAAAACAAAATTTTTTTATGAACATATATCGAAAAATGCTACGCAAGGGGTGCGTCTTTTAATAGTTTATTTTTCAATATTTCCGAAATCATTTTAGAAAAAAATTTCATAATTTGCTACAGATGATAACTTTTATACACCTAAACAAGTACAAAAATAAAATGTATTTTTTTTTAATTAGGTGCTTCGTAAACTAGATGGGATTAGGGTAAAAATTTACTCTAACTATTTTGCCTGTGGTTTCTTGCCACTTTCAGCAACAAAATTTCATAGTTTTTCATAAAAAAAGGTCTTTTATGTTTTTCCGATACAATTTACGGATTTTTTGTAAAAATCGGTTTAAAAATTTATGTTACAGACCATAAACAGCATAAAAATTAAAAATTAAATTTGTTTTACCGTTTAGGACGCCCCTGATTAAAAATTTTGTTATTCGGCATTTGTTTGGGTGTACATATAAAGGTACCAAATTTTGTAATTTTATCTATTCTGAAATATTAGGAAAAACCCTTTAAAAAACGTACCTTTTTTAGGGGGTGTAGCTCCTTTTCATAGCATTTTTCAAAACACTTTTATCTTAAAATTTAATATTCTATTAACTATTTAAATTTGTACCTAACAATAAAAATGAAACACTATATAATTAACACATGAAAAATTAATTCACAAAAATTTAAAATCAACTCATTGAAATAACAAAGAAACTAAATTTTTAACACTTATAACAAAGTGCTCAGCATTTCGGGGGGGGTTTGAACCCCCTAAACCCCCCCCTTGGGTACGGCCATGTGTCAAGGTATTCATGAAAAAAGCAATATGCTTGGATACCGTTTAATTCTTAGTTTGACAAAGCCTAATTTGTCAATAAATCTTATTGAAATCTTTAATAATGGATGATATTAATTACGACAAATTGGCAGATCAGTTTGAAGTGTTTTTTAAGTGCAATAAAAATAGAGCGGAAGCTGAAAGACAGTATAGAGAAAAATACTCAAATAGAATTCACCCAAATCGTTGAAAATTTAGTCGAATTGAAAAACAACTGAGACGAATAGTTTCGCTTCTTAAAACTAAAAAACCTGTGGTTCTTTGTGAAGAACAAGAAAATAGAAATCTGAATGTTCTGTTATCAGTCGAAGAAAATCCAAGAGAACTCGCTCATAAACTGACAAATTAAATTTGTCAAACCAACAATTAAACTGTATCCAAGCATTTTTTATTCACACCTTTCCTTTAAAATTAAAAATCAGGCTACGCGACCAATTTCCTTGTGAAATTCTAAAATTTAAGATGTTTTTTGATTGCAAAATGTAATAAATAGTGGTTTACAGTATTTTTCATGTCAATTATTTTGTTTAGGGGAAAAAAACATAGGTGTTCCATTTGAAAAACTAAATTTGGTAGCATTTCCGGCCACACCGAATGTGCTAAAAAAATTTAATACATTTATTAAGAAAGCCAAGAATGAATATTATTACTTAAATATTTACTTTTTGAAAAAAAGAAGTAAGTTTAGGTGTTATCAGACGGGGCGACTTGGACCGAACACCCTGTATGTATGTCGTGTGTTCAAATTATAATTTGTTACACAAACATGTTGATATAATTAATATGTCACTAAATGTTTTCATCACTAAAATTAAAATCAGATTACATAGACCCTCCGAATAATGGTTGAAATTTGCTCTTTTGTATTATTTAATTCTTGTAAGTATTGATATAATTTATGTACTTTTATATTTATTGTTATCTTATAATTGAAGTGTACCTTCTGTTGGATCAATAAACTTATTATTATTCTGATAATTAAGTGACTTTGTATCAGTAGTTTGTGTATTTTGATAATTTCATATGTATTCGTATATAATAAACAAAAAAATATTTTTAATAAAACATTTTTTCAGAAAATTAAAAATTTAAAAGCTTATACAAGTATGTTAATTGAATATTGAAAGTGATGTTAATGGAAAATTAATTTTACCCACAATAGCATTTGTGATGTTTTTAACAATTTTTGAAATCTATGTTATGTTAAAAACAAAGCCACAACTCAGAGGTTCTCGACCTTTGTTCTCTTTCAGACAGACTTTGAAAAAAATGTCGTTAAAGTTAGTAAATCTTGTTTTCAAATTTGGAAGTTTACTATCACTTACACCTGCCAAGATAGAACAAAATGGGCTTGTGTTTCCATCAAAAATATATTCACTACTCTGGATAATACTATTCTCTGCAGGAGTGTCAGTTTCCGCTGTTTATAGAAAACCTTCATACGAAGAAATGCCTTCGATATTACTTATGGTTCAAGTAGCTACGGATGTCTCTTTATTGATTCTAAATATTTCCWCTATTATAATAACAGCAATGAAGAAGCGTCAGTGGCAAAAATTYATCAACATTTTGGAAACTCTTGAAATWGAMAAAGAGAACGGAAGAAAATGTTGGTTTTTATCTTTTCTATTAACAATCTCTATATACGTTTCAAACAAAATTTACGAAACTTATGCTTTGGGTTCAATATTTGGTGTCGAACACTACAAAATGTATGCAGTGGAGTATTTTCAAACTTTTGCCCAGTTTATTGTYTACTATTTGRTTTATGTATTTTTGAARCTGATAYTGAACRGAGTTGAAAATCTGTCCAAGAATATTAATCTTTTGAAGGTGCAATGTAATCAACTAAATAATTTTACTTTGAAGAGTATAAAAAAGGAATTTTGTGCATTGGCAGAATGTGTAGATATTTTTAACAATATTTTTGGTTGGTTAATATTATTGATGATACAGTTTTGTTTTTTCCAACAATTATCTTATTTGCACAGTTTGACCGTCACTAATATGACAGAAAACACCATCTTAGGTGTTATATTCAAAATAACGCATGTTACTTGGCACATGGTTAGTCAGATGTTTCTCTATTTTTTTGAATAAACATTTTTTCAATTTTAGGTAGGGACATTTATTGGTGTCTTTTTGTGTGATCTGATAGAACAAAAAGTTTATAACATGCAATTGGTAGCGCACGAAATTGCAGCAATTTCTGTAGGAGGAAAAGAATATGAAGAAATAAAAATGCTTGTAGATGTCATCAGCAACACTTTTCCTCACTTTACAGCCGCCAGATTTTTTGATTTAAATCGAAAAACGATTCTTGGTGTACTTAATGCTCTTATTACGTTTTTAATTTTTGCTATTCAATTTGATTCATTTTGAGTCAATTTGAAAGCTCTAAAACTTATTAAAGTACCATAGTATTTTTGTAGATACAATAAGTCCAAATGGACTTATGGACTTAATCAAATGATTAAGATAAAGAATTTCGAATCTTCATTGTTGATATCTTGTTATTTTATTTAAAAGATTGCATTCAAACTAATACATGTTTTAAATGGAAATGTCATGCAATCTTAACGTGGGCACCCCTAGCAAATGTATTCATAGCAATTTTAATAAAAGAACTTGGCAGTTTCGATTTTTGATTTAATTAAAAAAAATGTCATTAAACGACAGCAAAAATTAATTATACAATAAACAAAAAAAATTAACAAAACTTTTTCTGGAAAATTATAAATTTAAAAGCTTCACACATTTTTATACAACTATATTATTAAAATATTCAAGTTGTGAGTGTTGTTAATGTAAAAATCAATAATACTGTCAATAAAATTTTTGGTTTTAATAAATATTTAAATTTATGTTATGTTGAAATCAAAACCAGAAGCCAGAGGTTCTAGTCCCTTGTCCTCTTTCAGACATATTTTGAACACAATGTCATTAAAATTAGTAAATCTTGTTTTCAAATTTGGAAGTTTACTAGCACTTACACCTGCCAAGATAGAAAAAAATGGACTTGTGTTTCCATCAAAAACATATGCACTGCTCTGGATAATACTATTCACTGCAGGAGTATCAATTTCAGCTTTTTACCGAAAAGCTTCGTATAAAAAGTTCACTCCTGTGATACTCACTATTCAAGTCGCTACGGACACAGTTTTGTTTATTCTTAATATCTCTACAATTATAATAACAGCCACGAAGAGACATCAATGGAACAGATTTATCAATATTTTGAAATTTCTTAAAAATAACAATGAGAAGGGAGATTTATTTTGGTTTTTACCTTTTCTTTTAACAAATGTTGTTTTCGTAGTAATCTTTACGTACTACACTACTATTTATGCTCAAAGAATGGGTGTCGATTTCTTTAAATATTATGCAGTGGAATATTTTCAATTTTATGCTCAATTTATTGTTTACTATTTGATTTATGAATTTTTAAATCTGATTTTGAATGCATTCAATGACTTATCCAAAACTATGTGCAAACTTTTGAAGATGCGATCTAATCGATTACACAAATTGTCTTTCAAAAAATTGAAGAGTGATTTTTGTGCATTAGCAGAATGTGTAGAAATTTTTAACAACACTTTTGGCTGGCTTCTTTTACTTTCGATGGGATTCACTACTCTTCAAGTATTGACATATATGCAGTATTTAATCTCCGGAAACCCAAAATCAATTGCGATAATTATGTACCAAATAATGTTTATTACATGGCATTTGGTTGGTTTTCAAATATTTTTAAGTACTCATTCTTATATTTAATTAAATTTTAAGGTCGGGACATTCAATGGGGTTTTCATCTGTGATTTAACAGAGCAAAGAGTTAAAGCTATGCGAATGGTAGCGTATCAAATTGTAGCAAATTTTGATGGAGAAAAAGAAGTTGAAGAAATAAAGAAGCTGATAAATGTAATAAACGACAATTTTCCTCACTTTACAGCTGCTAGATATTTCGACCTAAATCGAAAAACGATTCTTGGCGTTCTTAATGCTTTTTTTACGTTTTTAATTGTTGTGATTCAATTTGAAAACTTGTACAATTAATTAGCACGAAAAAACAAAATAATTAAATTAAAGTTTTTTAAATATATAAAATGGTTGCTGCCTTATTATGTCCAAGATGATTACAATATTTTATTAAATTATTTGTCTCTTTCTACACTTGAAATTAGAAGAAGATATCAGGCTTTATGTTTTGTTTATAAACTTTTAAATAATTTGATTAATGATTTTTGAATACTAAATTTAATTAATTTTCACGTTCCACAGTATAATAGCAGATCTAACCAATTATTCAAAATTTCGTTTGCACATAATAATTATCTATTTAATTCTTCGCTAAATGATCTTTTAAGAAGTTGTAACATGTACAGTGTCAAGTTGGACTTTTTTAATTTTAAATCTTTTAATAGTTTCAAGCGTTTTCTAAAAGTTTCGTTGAGTTAGTCATCTTGTATTCTTTAATTATGTTTATATGTTGCTTGTTTTCTATTATAATTTTATTATTACTTAATGTAAAGGATATTACCGTTAAATAAAGTTATTGTTAATTTGAATTTGTAGGATATTAATGAAAGGAACGTCCCAAATGTGAAAATCAATGTTACATGCCATGAAATTTTTGTTTAATAAAAGTATAAAAAAATATTTTTTTATAAATAAACTTTTATTAAAAAAATATTAAAAAGTAGAAAAATATTACTAACATAGAGAGTACATTTTTGCTTACTGTTTTTTTACTGTTTTTGAAATTTATAAAAGTATTGCACAATTGCTGCACCACTCACAAAGCTTTTATAGATTTTAAAATTTTGATTGAAATTCTAGTAGTAAGTATTTATTGTTGAGAAACCTGTGGTTATTACGTCGATACTAATAAAATATTTCTGAAATTGTAGGTACTTATTTTAGTTATAAAGACAACTAGAGTTTTAAACTATAAAACTTGTATTGTCTTGAGAGTTACAATTTAGGATACAGCTTCTTTGTTTCCTCTTCTAATAGCCTTTAGCAAAAAAACTTGTAAAATTATTCTTCCAACAAAAATAAATAGAGTCAAAGCGCAAAATTTAAACTCTCATAACTTCGAAATTTTTATAGATAGAATTTTTTAACATTTTTTCCATGTTCTTGGTATCTCACCTTATATGGCATTTTTCTCTGGGGAGTTCTGGCGCACGCTATATACATCGCCATAAATAAATAAATAATAGCTAATAAATTACCTATATATGTTACACAACTAATTGGAGCGTCCGTAGGTACTACATATCAGATTGATTATTTACATTTATATCAATACCTCGAAAACGAACGACAACTGGAAAGTTTTCTACTCTTAATTTTCGATTTGTGTTAGCTCCCTGAATCCAGTTATCCTGCATAAGTATGTTACTTAAATATTTATGTTGAGTGATGTTAATGACAAAACGTAACGTAATGTTACTGACAATTACACATTTCTGGTTTTTAGAAATGTTGAAATTTATATTATGTTGAAAACAAAGCCATCAAGAGAGAGGTTCTCATCCCTTGTTCTCTTTCAGACAAACTTTGAACAAAATGTCGTTAAAGTTAGTAAATCTTGTTTTCAAATTTGGAAGTTTACTAGCACTTACACCTGCCAAGATAGAAAAACATGGGCTTGGGTTTCCATCAAAAATATATGCACTACTCTGGATAATATTATTCACTGCAGGAGTGTCCATTTCCTGCATATATAGAAAACCATTTTACGAAGAAATGACTTTGGTAGAACTTATCCTTCAAGTAGTTACGGATGTTGTTTTGTTAATTCTAAATATTTCCATTATTACAATAACAGCAACGAAGAAGCGTCAATGGCAAAAATTTATCAAGATTTTAAAAACTCTTAAAATTAATCAAGAAAACGAGAGAAAATTTTGGTTTTTATCTTTTCTTTTAGCAATCACTATGTACATTTTAAGCAAAATTTACGAAACTTATATTTGGAGTTCAGTGCTGGGTGTTCTACACTACAAAATGTACGCAGTGGAGTATTTTCAATTTTATGCTCAATTTATTGTTTACTATTTGATTTATGTATTTTTGAAACTGATACTGAACGGAGTTGAAAATCTGTCCAAAAATATTAAACTTTTGAAGGTGCGATCTAATCGACTAAATAGTTTTACTTTGAAGAGTATAAAAAGGGAATTTTGTGCATTGTCAGAATGTATAAATATTTTCAACAATATTTTTGGTTGGTTAATATTATTGTTGATACTATTTTGTTTTCTCCAACAATTGGCATATTTGCACAGTTTGACCGCCACTAATATCGCAGAAAACACCGTCTCAATTGTCATATTCAAAATAATGCAGATTACCTGGCACATGGTTAGTCAGAGATGTTTCTCTTTTTTTTTTGAATAAACATTCCTTCAATTTTAGGTCGGGACTTTTATTAGTGTTTTTTTGTGTGATCTGGTGGAACAAAGAGTTAAAAACATGCAAATGGTAGCGCACGAAGTTGCAGCAAATTGTGTAGGAGAAAAAGAATATGAAGAAATAAAACTGCTTCTAGGTGTCATAAACAACACTTTTCCTCACTTTACAGCAGCCAGATATTTCAATCTAAATAGAAAAACGATTCTTGGTATACTTAATGCTCTTCTTACATTTTTAATTGTTGCGATTCAATTTGAAAACTCAAGCTTTTCTTGAAGTAGATGTTTACATTTTTAATTTTTTTTTAGTTTTGTTTTTAAAGAAAAAGGAAAATATTTAAATTTCGTTGATTTTGCGTCAGTTGGTGACTCAAAATTTTTTATCTTTGATTTTACGCCAAAACTGCAAAGGAAAAAAGCTTTTCCTTTACTTGAAACCAGCAAATCTGTAAAAGAAAAGTTCATTTTTCTCTGTTTTTTAGGTCCTATCACATTGGCGGTTTTAATTATTTGACAACTATATATCACTTTGACAATTAATTTATTAATTAAATAATGATAGAGCTTATTCCATATTTGGTGGCGAACTGACAGTGACAGAAAAGACATTTGGAGTGCTCCCACTTGGTTAAGATAAAAAAATACATGGGCGTACTTTTTTTCTCTAAAAATTTAGAAGACAAGGATTGTTAGGAAAATCATTTTTGAAAATTCTTTTCATGCGTTAACAATTTAATAATTTGTTCATCAGTCTTCATCTTATGTACGAGTACCTACTTATTATTTTTTTAAAGAATAACAGTGGTTTTGAAATATTATTTCATACGACGCCTATGAACAATATTTTTTTTAATAGTAAACATATGTTTAGTGTCAAAATTCAGTCATTTTTGACAACGTCAGTTCGCCACCAGATTTGGAACAAGCTATAGTTCTTATTAAAAATAACTTTGGTTTTTACCATAAAGCTGTTTCTTTGAGTTGCTGTTTATCAAAATTATGTTTTTCACAAACATTTTTGTTATTTAGCTTGCGCAAACTCATTTATCAAAGTGACATCATTGTTAAAATAATAAATCCGCCAATGTGATAGGACTTAAAAAGCAGAGAAAAATTCCAAGTCCAAAATCAAGAGAAAAATGAACTTTTCTTTCTATTGGGTTAGAATAATGAAGTTTTAATTACAAGTAGGTAAAGCAACAACTTTTTTCCTTTGCAGTTTTGGTGTAAAATCAAAGATAACAATTTTTTCCTCTTGTAAACTCAAATCCAGGGACATACTGTATTTTGAGTCGGTATCTAACGTAGGTATAATGTCTCGTATCGAACGTATTAAATGAACATAATAGATGATGATGCGATTAAAGATTTTATGTCAAAACGATATTTTTTAATTACTGTAATGTACTATTATATTGACTTATTATATTAAAGATATACATTACGATTATTCTAATAATGTAAATTGTATAGTATTTTTCTCACAATAAAAAACGTGTTGGAATCCACACTTTTTGAGGAAAATATTGGCTTTTTCGAACGTAGTTTAACTATTGACAGTGGAATTTATTGGCCGTACTTTTCTTGATTTTGGCAGGTTAAACAAGTTGTTTTTAGGAAGATGATAATATTGAAAATTTTGCCCTTGTTTTTTTTCAGTAGGACATGTCATTAAGGCTAGTAAATCTCGTTTTCAAAATCGGAAGTTTACTAGCACTTACACCTGCGAGGATAGAAAAAAATCGACTTGTGTTTCCATCAAAAGCATATGCACTACTTTGGATAATACTATTCACTGCAGGAGTCTCAATTTCAGCTTTTTACAGAAAAGTTTCGTATGAAAAGTTGACGCCTGTGGTACTCACTATTCAAGTAGCTACGGACACAGTTTTGTTTGTTCTTAATATTTCTACAATTATAATAACAGCCACGAAGAGACATCAGTGGAACAGATTTATCAATATTTTGAAATTTCTTAAAAACAGAAATGAGAAGGGAGATTTATTTTGGTTTTTACCCTTTCTTTTAACAAATGTTGTTTTCGTAGTAATCTTTACGTACTACACTTACAATGTGGTTCCAATAATGGGGGTCGAATTCTTTAAACTGTATGCAGTGGAATATTTTCAATTTTATGCTCAGTTAATTGTTTACTATTTAATTTATGAATTTTTAAATCAGATTCTGAATGGATTCAATGACTTATCCAAAACTATGTCCAAACTTTGGAAGATGCAACCTAACCGATTACATAAATTGTCTTTCAAAAGACTAAAGAGCAATTTTTGTGCATTAGCAGAATGTATAGAGATTTTCAACACAACTTTTGGCTGGCTTTTCTTACTATCGATGGGATTCACTGTTCTTCAACTATTAGGATTTATGAACTATTTACTCTCCGGAAAGTATAATTCACTTCCGCTAGTTTCAATGTTTATTACATGGCACATGGTTGGTTTAGAAATATACTTAAATACTCATTCTTATATTTATTGAAATTTTAAGATCGGGACATTTTTTGGAGTTTTCATCTGTGACTTAACAGAGCAAAGAGTTAAAGCTATGCGAATGGTAGCGTATCAAACTGCAGTAAATTTTGATAAAGAAAAAGAAGTTGAAGAAATAAGAAAGCTGATAAATGTAATAAACGACAATTTTCCTCACTTTACAGCTGCTAGATTTTTCGACCTAAATCGAAACACGATTCTTGGCGTTCTTAATGCTTTGTTTACTTTTTTAATCGTTGTGATTCAATTTGAGAACGTGTACAATTAATTAGCATGAAAAAAAGGTTTGTAATTTAATAATTTGAATTTGTAGGATATTAATGAAAGGAACGTTTCAAATGTGGAAATCAATACCATGAAATTTTTGTTGATTACAAAATGTATAAAAAAATACTAAAAAGTAAAAAAAATCTATCATACAAGTACATTTTTCCTTACTACTTAAGTTTTCAAAATTTATAAAAGTTTTGGGAGGGGTCATAACGCCAAACGAGTATTGCACTCGTTATTTATTTTTTAAAAACTTAAAAAACTTAAGCAAAAATGTTCTTCTCTGATAGAAAAATAAATATTTTTTTAAATAAAACCTTTTTTTTATTTTTTAGTCTTTACTTATTTGTTTTGTGAGATATGTACTTTAAACTTCAAACACAAAGCATATTTTTTTTTCAAATAGTGATGTTGAAATTTCCACCCACCCTGAATATCTTTGTTCCTGTGAAAGATATGGGTAGTGACTATTCTTTTGTTTCAAAAAAAAGTTCAAATTTAATCAGTGGCGTAACACAAAAAAATTCGGGTAGCCAGAAAATTGTGTGACCTCCAAAACATGTCACCCGTATAGTCAATATGTCACTAAATGTTTTCATCAATAAAATTAAAATCAGATTACATAAACCGTCTGAATAATGGTTGAAATTTGCTCTTTTGTATTATTTAATTTTTGTAAGTATTGATGTAATTTATGTACTTTTATATTTATTGTTATCTTATAATTGGAGTGTACCTTCTGTTGGATCAATAAACTTATTATTATTCTGATAATTAAGTGACTTTGTATCAGTAGTTTGTGTATTTTGATAATTTCATATGTATTCGTATATAATAAACAAAAAAATAATTTTTAATAAAACATTTTTTCAGAAAATTAAAATTTTTAAAGCTTTTACAAGTATGTTAATTGAATATTGCACGTGATGTTAATGGAAAATTAATTTGACTCACAATAGCATTATCAATT